AATAAATAGTGAGCTGGTATTATCTTCTAACAATAATGGTTTGCCTTTGTCTAATAACTGTGGTCTAATATCTTCTTTCAATAATTGTAATATTGTGTCTTCACCTAATAACTGTGGTCCGGCATCTTCGCCTAATAAATATGGTCTAGTTTCTTCGCCCAATAACTATGGTTTGGTGTCTTTGCCCAAAAATCTGGTGCCTTTATATAACAATAATAGTAGTTATATTGCCAATAACTATAATAATTGTCTATTGTGAGTACATATGAAATGAAAAAAAAAAAAAAATAGAAAAGCTTATCTCACGGACGTGGTATTAAAGGGATGACTACGATGATTATGTGCAAGGAAGGGATGTATAAGAAATATTGAGCTGGTATCATTTTCTAACAATAATGCTTTGTCTTTGCCAATAACTGTCTAGTATCTTCATTCAATAACTGTAGTCTGGTGTCTTTGCCCAATAACTATGGTCTGGTATCTTCGCCTAATAACTGTGGTCTGGAGTCTTCACCTGAAAATCTGATGCCTTTACATCATAACAATAGTAGTTATATTGTGCTTTCTCCCAACAACTGATAATTATTCATTGTGAGTGCATATGAAGTAAAATAAAAAAATAAAAAAAAGTATTTACTGCGGGTGTATATGAAATGAAAAAAAAGTAGAAAGTCTTATTTCACGGACATGGTGTTCAAAGAGACGACTATAACAACTATGCATAGGAAAAGGGTGTATAATAAATAGTGAGCTTGTATCATCATTTAACAATAATATTTTGCTTTTGTTTAATAATTATGGTCTAGTATCTTTGCCCAATAACTGCGAGCTAGTGTCTTCGTCCAACAACTGTGGTCTAATGTCTTTGCCCGAAAATCTGGTGATTTTATATAATAACAATGGTAATTATACTGTGCTTTCTCCTGAAAACTGATAATTATTCATTGTAGGTCTATACGAAATAAAAAAAAAATAAAAAATTTATTGTAGGTGTATATGAAATAAAAAAAAAAAAAAATAGAAAGTCTTATTTCATAAAAAATAGTATGCTAGTATCAACTTCTAACAATAATAGTTTGCCTTTGTCTAATGACTATGGTTTAGTATCTTCGCACAATAACTGTGGTTTTGCATCTTTACCCAATAACTGTGGTCTGGTGCCTTCACCTAATAATTATAGTCTGGTGTCTTCGCCCGAAAACCTAGTGCCTTTATATAACAATAATGGTAGTTATATTGCACTTTCTTCCAATAACTATGATAATTATTCATTGTGGGTTTATATAAAATAAAAAAAAATAGAAAAGCTTATCTCATGAACATGGTGTTAAAGAGACAACTACGACGATTATGCATGGGGAAGGGGTATATAAGAAATATTGAGCTGGTATCATTTTCTAACAATAATACTTTGTCGTTGCCAATAACTATCTAGTATCTTCATTCAATAATTGTGATCTGGTGTCTTCGCCCAATAATCATGGTCTGGTGTCTTCACCTAATAATCGTGGTCTGGTGTCTTCGCCCAATAGCTGTAGTTTTGTGTTTCCACCTGATAACAATCTTGATCTAGAACTGTTACCTGATATGTGTGATAGTTCAAGACCTTTACCTAATAATGATGGTAAGTTATTTAATTATTGTCACGAATCATAATAAAATCAGATTAAAATGAAATGAGAGTTTCTATTTAATTTTCTAAAACCTACTTATACTTGTTTATTATAAACTCTACCCTAAAACTAATGATGTGAATCGGTTAGACCATAATCGGGTAACCAAAAAAAATTGTGTAACTGGTTAAACAAATGCTTAACCGGTTAACCCGGTTATTCGATTGACCTGATATAATCGGTTGATCCTGATATAATCGGTTAACCCCAATATAATCAGGTGACCCCGATATAATCGGCTGACCCGATATAATCGGCTGACCTGATATAATCGGTTGACCTAATATAATCGGTTGACCAAAATAATTGGTTGACATCAATTTTTGTGGCTTAGATATGTAAAGATTTTTTTTTATTTTTTCAATTCGTGAATAAAAGAGTGATCATGATCTATATTTCTATATTGTAGGTCTTTATATTAGAAGCTTTGGGTTTAATCATTCTAAAAAAAATTTTTACTGAGATTTATATTTCAAAATACCTTTTTTGTTTAAAATGATAAGTATACATTTATTTAGAAGTCAACTAAGAAATATTTCTCATGCAATTTTACCCTAAACCCTCTCCTAACCCAAACCCTAACCTAGTTACATTTTTTTTTTATACATATAAAAGTTAGGAAACATATTAATAAAATTATCATTTCTTTTTAGGAATAGCATTTGAGAGACTAATTTGGGGTTTAAATTTGAACATCGAGGGGTAATGTGATTTCCAGCATCAGAAAAAATGCGCTCGCTAGGGGCAGAAGTAGTGGGGATACTGAGATATTTTCTGGCTAGTTTTGAAAGGGTTGGGAATTGAGATTGTTGCTGTCACCACCATAAGAGGGGATCTTTTTCAGGAAAGGCTTATGGTGTTTGCTTTAAGTCAAGATAAGAATCCAATTCATCCGTAAATTCAACTGATCTTTGAGCACTACCAAATATAAGCTTCTTAAAAATATTATTAGGGAAGAGGTTTTTTGAGCTAGGTGAAGTAATATTTTTATTTGATGTTGGTGATTGTATATTCATTAGTTGGTGAAGTTGAAGTCTATATTCATTAATAGTATTATTACGAGTTTCTGCATTAGCAAAAGACATTTTTTTTGAGCCGGGGGTCTAAAAATGTTGCGAGAAGGCAAATTTGCGATGAGCGATCCCAATATTCAAAAAGTGAGTTATATATGATATTTGTTATGTCTTTTACAATTAATTCAGTGTCATTTTTAGTCTGATTTTCTTGAATATCAAAGGATATGTCACTTTCATTTTCATCATCTGACGACTCAGACTCTGAATCAAAATTAGATGTTTCTTGGAGAACTAAAATAATTAATATTAAATGTACAGTACTCAATAAGTATTTATTGGGTAAAATTAAAAAAAATTAGTATATCAAATTGGTTTTTGGTTTTTTATCTTTTTCTAATTTTTTTTTTTTTCTTAAATGCATTTCATAATTTTAACTACTGATATCACTGTATGGTAAGTGATCTTCAGGAAAAATTAGTAACCTTACATAAATCACGCATTAATGGTCTTAAATAACCTTGCATAAATCACTTTTAATGATACCCCTTAATAAATTCCAGTACCATATTTGCA